CCTCTATGTTCCAATGCCTCCTCTCCTTTCTTGCTAGCTGTTTTTTTACCTCCTTTTGGCCTGAAGTTCAAACATTGATGTTTTGCCGTTGGCGAAACAGCTTGTCTAAGATGTTGACACAATGAGTCATGATACAAGTCATTTTCTGAGTTGCTTTATAATCAGGTGCCACAAGCTCAGGTCCACGTCCAGCTGATAGAGGTCCTCACCCGAACGACAGAGGACATCGGGAATGTCAGGGGATTCAGGGACATGACCCTGCTGGTGTCTTGCAATGTTTTGTGCCTCGTGTTTTTCCCCTTGCCTTGTCAAAACCAAGCGCGTTGAGCCCAAGGACCCCGTCCAAGTGATAGAGGTCCTCCAAATGATAGAGGCCCCATTGGGCGGGTGGAATGGCGGACCAACGGGAGCACCCAGCCATGAGTCATGAGGATGTAAACTTTTGGCCTGCGTGGAATCCGCATTTGCAACGCTTGATGCACACTCGATGCTTTCATGGCCCTTTCATTGGTCAAACTTCAACCAGAGAGGCCCTCATCCCAATGATCGGGGTCCAAACCCAAGCTGTCGCGCTTCTTGTTCCGTTGATCTATCGCTAGTCTATGCATGATGCTATCAATGCAGGCGAAGGTATCTACCATGAGTAGTACGAGGAAAATGTTTTGACATGCAAGCTTGGAACCATCACTACCATGATTCAGAAGAGTGGCATTCGTCAATATGTTTCACTAAAGCAACATGAAGCTGTTACACGAAGCTGGTTGGTCACGGTTGCACACGAGGAGACCAATGTCTTCAAATAAATCAGCCGAGACGTTTTCAGCATATTGATCGATGTGATTGATCGACATGTGTTGGACCAGCGATCCAAGGAGCGAGGCCTGGGGACCGTCCCGATCGAGGCATGGGACTCTACAGCCATTCACAGTCCTCACGAGAAGGCTAAGAGGTAGGTTGAGGCTTCGCATTGTTGATTTAGTGTTCAGACTTTCTATTTCGGCGCAATCACTTGTTGCAATGCCGCTTCGCATCAGTCGTGCAGCGCAGCCGAGGCACGCTTCCTGATAGAGGTCCACATCTCAAGCTCAGTGTTCTAAAGCAGGATTGACCAACAAGGATCTCTTTCAGGCGTTTTTGATCGTTTTTGGCAGATCCAAAGCATTTAGCACAGAACTCCGAACATGTCTTCTCCATTCAATTGTATCCATGGACTGTCATGGGCTTCTCTTCATGTTGTGAACGGAAAGCAGTCGGAACTCGGAATGGATAGAATATGATAGAATCCACAATGCAAGTTTGTTCACAAGACCTTCCTATTTGGGAGTGACGTTCCAAGGTCCACGCCCAGGCGACCGAGGTCCAATCAGCAGGGCGCCAGGAGTAACAATGCAAACTTTGTCACCTTTAAGAATCAGCAAAGCAATAGAAAAAGCAAAAGCAAGCATGAAGAAGCTTGTTAAGAAGATCTAAGAAGCTTGCTAAGAAGCGTTGCTTAGTTGCCGTTGCGAGGGGAACGGTCTCGTTCTGGCGACCGGTATCGGCGGCCGCCTGACAGACTGGAACGGCCGGGAGGCGCGGCACTCAAGAAGTAAATATGTTTAATTACATTTACTCGAGGAATTGTTTGGAAAGCACAGGGAACCTGGTGAGCCCGTTTCTTTCTAAATAAGACGAGTAGCTTCTTGTTACTAGTAGCGATGGCCTCCAATGCACGAATTGCATGTAAAAGAACATGTAGAACATGCGACAGGGCCGCCACGGCCCTTCGGTTTCACTGTTCGGTTGGCGGGTCAAGATGTATGCGAGAAATCACATGGCAGCGGTGCACATTGATATCTTCAAGGTTCCTTGTGGGTTTTAGCCCATCCGGGGTTTGAGTGGTGTTCCGTTTGTCCTTGGCAAAGCTCTTTGATGTTCTTAGGCTGGAAGACAAACAGAACCAACAACAAGCTCACAATCAAGACCAGATGAACATTTGAGCAACAAGAGACAATCAAAACATGTTTGTTGGCCGGCAGCTGCGGAAGCAGCTTCGTTGCAGCAATTTGTCCGCACAGGGCACGATTCCTTCAGCACTATTCCAAACGGTCCCGTGCCGGGAATGCAACACTGCAATTTCCTGAGGTCTTTCACACTGCGCAACGTCGAAACAGAAGTGATGAGATCCATTGCAATCAGCACGGGTTTGCCACTTTCTTTGTGATTGTTTGGTGGGCGGTTCTTTTGATCACGCACCACAAATTCATCAATCATTTGACAGAAGCAGTGTGCCGTTTGTTTTTCCTATCAATGGCAAATCAGAGATGAACCCGGCCCACCATGTGCTTACCACTTTGAATGAAGTCTCGGACGTCAAAACCTTGAGCCTGATACCTGGAACATGTCAAGTTTTTACATGCAATAATGGAGTCATATAATCCACATCATGTGTTTTCATTCGCAATCGTTTGCCTGCAATATGTTCAAAGGAATTCTGACACTTCTTCCATGCCCCATGGTCGCCAGGACACCCAGCGAGCTTTTTTTGGGACAGAAAATGACACGCCTACCACATACCTATTATTACATTAATACAAACTTAGTCAAAATAATGAATATGTTAAATGGCGTTCTCGCTCCATCCAATCAGGTGCCGCGCCCCCACCATGCTACTTGTACCGATATTGCTCACACTTGTAAGAGCGATATTAAACTATGTTACCAAAATTCCAATGTGTCGAACCATTTTGTCATATCTAATTATCAACTCTAACTCAGGTTTTTGCATGGCCACTTAACAATGTCAACAACTCTACTGTCATGTGCATGTGAAGATTTAGAAGTTAAATTAAAGGCATTTGGAAGTAGACCAACGAGCAGATGTAAAGCTGAGGCTTGTTGCAAGTGATCAGTGATCCTAATGTAAGCGAGAGCTGGTCAATCCGAAGATGTGTGAAGGGAACTTGGAAACTGGCCGAGGGAAAAAGAATGGATGATTTGTTTTGTTGTTTAAGCCTGCTCCTGCTTAATTCTAGGAGTACGTGCCGTTCGCTACTTAAGCTACTACATATGGACGCAGGATAGCTGACGCTTCCTTGAAGAAGCGCTCGCACTAATGATTTGGTTCCTAGATTTTTAGGAAAACTAAAGTTTACAGCGCTTGTTCGCTCGGCACTTGTTCCATGAGTTCATCTCACCCATAATTGTTATGTATGGCATGTTAAGATGGAATGTGAGACATGTCAGACGAAACGGCTTGAAGCAATCGCACCTAGCCATAGACATTTTGGCCTTTGGGGTTCATGAGCAGTTTCAGATTGGCCCTCAAATCAACATACCTTCACTCCTACCTTCTCAAGTCTTTTCCGAGCTTGAGCTATATAAAGCTAGTCAGAGGGTGCAAGTGAGACTCGAAAGGGGCTGGGGCCATTTGTTGTGTAAAAAATTGCTAGTTTAAATCTTCTACAGTTCAAACACATGTCCACAGTTATATTACTCGTTTGCACTGTTGTGATGTCTTTTCAACACTCTTGAGTCATTCCGATGGCTACTTGCTGGCTGAATATATTTGGGTGTCCCTCGCTGCCTGGAAACGAACCTTTAAAAAGCTGTGCAACCCAAGCGGATGTCTCCCAGTGCATGCCACGCCTTGCCAAGTTGGCATCAGAATGTCATTGTAAAAATCTGCACTACGTGTGTCATTGAGAGAGTGCAGTTTGGAACTGGTCAGATGCGGGATTGGCTGGTGTTTGGTTCACGTGCTGCACATGATGTGCCCGTGTTCACTCACAGCTCACCCTGCTCTGGGGTATACAAGGACGCTACTAGGGGCTCCTGGGCTCCTGGCCTTACTACTAGGAACAAGAAGCTACTAGGAACAATGTATGACCACCCCCTTCCTGCATAGGCTACCGAGAAGCTGGCCGACCATGGGACACCCGGGAACGCCCGGGCGAGCGCCCTCACGAGCGTGGCGCAGCAGTGCCACCCCCAGCATCCATGGCAGTGCCAAGCGGAGGCCCTGCCAGGCCGGGGAGGTTCTGTGGGAGATTTTGCAATGTTTGGATTGCGTTTGCATTCGTGCATTGTTGTTTGAGTTTTGGTGTAGACATGTGTAGATGTTGTTTTATATAGTTCTCATTTGTTGGCGTTTGTAGAGTGTTCATAGTGCATAAGGTGCCAGTTGAAAAGCTCTACAGTTTCAGCTTTACAAGAGCTCTTCAGAGTGCGGGGCACGTTGCTTTTATTGTTTATGTCCATGTATCGGATTCTCAGGGCGGAGCCGAGCATCTACGTCTCTGGCTGCAGCAATGAGACTGTTTCGAACATCATTCAAGGTAGCGAGAACAGCGCCATTGCATGCCATTGCCGTTAATGTTGGATCTTGATTAGTAAAGGGGGGTCCCCCCCCTCCCTCAAACAAATGGAGGAGCCTCTAAAATAAACTACCATCAAAACAAATCTGGGTTCCTGGGAGGATTCCTTTTGTAATTGATTGTAGTATTCATTGTCCTTTCTGAAGATCTTTGTCATTATATAGGTATTCTTTGCAATCCTTTCATACTACTACATAAAGGATTTATTAAGGAATTGATGGCTTTGGGAAACTGTTAGTTTTAAAGAAGAACTATAGAAACCTATACTTATCAATACTCTCAGCAAGCCAACCGTTGGCTTAGTAGAATTAAGAATTACTATGTTTATTTTTCTTCAGGAAAAACTTTGCACAATTGAGGACCCTTAAACGAAATTAATTATTGAGGATCACGGGCCTTTCTGGTCTACTACCTTGAAAATTTGTTTAGGAGCAATCTTTACTTAAAGGATTGATTAGGGAATTGATGGCTTTGGGAAGCTGTGAGTTTTGAAGAAGAACTATAGAAACTTATACTTATCAATACTCTCAGCAATCCAACCATTGGCTTAGTAGTAATAGGAATTTCTATGTGTGTTTTTTCTTCAGGAAAAACTTTGCACAATTGAGGACCCTTAAAACAATTCATTATTGAGGATCACGGGCCTTCCTGGTCTACTACCTTGAAAATGTGTTTAGGAGCAATCTTTACATAAAGGATTGATTAGGGAATTGATGGCTTTGGGAAGCTGTGAGTTTTGAAGAAGAACTATAGAAACTTATACTTATCAATACTCTCAGCAATCCAACCATTGGCTTAGTAGTAATAGGAATTTCTATGTGTGTTTTTTCTTCAGGAAAAACTTTGCACAATTGAGGACCCTTAAAACAATTCATTATTGAGGATCACGGGCCTTCCTGGTCTACTACCTTGAAAATGTGTTTAGGAGCAATCTTTACATAAAGGATTGATTAGGGAATTGATGGCTTTGGGAAGCTGTGAGTTTTGAAGAAGAACTATAGAAACTTATACTTATCAATACTCTCAGCAATCCAACCATTGGCTTAGTAGTAATAGGAATTTCTATGTGTGTTTTTTCTTCAGGAAAAACTTTGCACAATTGAGGACCCTTAAAACAATTCATTATTGAGGATCACGGGCCTTCCTGGTCTACTACCTTGAAAATGTGTTTAGGAGCAATCTTTACATAAAGGATTGATTAGGGAATTGATGGCTTTGGGAAGCTGTGAGTTTTGAAGAAGAACTATAGAAACTTATACTTATCAATACTCTCAGCAATCCAACCATTGGCTTAGTAGTAATAGGAATTTCTATGTGTGTTTTTTCTTCAGGAAAAACTTTGCACAATTGAGGACCCTTAAAACAATTCATTATTGAGGATCACGGGCCTTCCTGGTCTACTACCTTGAAAATGTGTTTAGGAGCAATCTTTACATAAAGGATTGATTAGGGAATTGATGGCTTTGGGAAGCTGTGAGTTTTGAAGAAGAACTATAGAAACTTATACTTATCAATACTCTCAGCAATCCAACCATTGGCTTAGTAGTAATAGGAATTTCTATGTGTGTTTTTTCTTCAGGAAAAACTTTGCACAATTGAGGACCCTTAAAACAATTCATTATTGAGGATCACGGGCCTTCCTGGTCTACTACCTTGAAAATGTGTTTAGGAGCAATCTTTACATAAAGGATTGATTAGGGAATTGATGGCTTTGGGAAGCTGTGAGTTTTGAAGAAGAACTATAGAAACCTATACTTATCTATACTCTCAGCAAGCCAACCATTGGCTTAGTAGTATTAGGAAATACTAGTTTTTTAAAGGAAATATAATTAACCCTAAATACATTTAGGTAATAAAAAATTGTGATCCCCAAAAGATTTAGCACAATAGGGGACCCTAAAAATCAAGAATTATTTTTCAAGTTTAGCATTATAGAGGGCCCTATTACTAATCAGCATCCAACATTATGTATTGTCTTATGTTTATTCTCTTTCCTTGGTCCTGAGCCTTTGCGCGAGGCACGTACACTACAACAGAAACCAACCATGGAAAACCGATCTACAAGAAGGACAGTGAAATCGTGCTGTTTGAATTTTGTTTCATGGCATTTTCAGATGTTTGCAGGGTAGTGTGTGAAGATAGACCTGAATAAAGGAGTCTACCGACCGGGCTGTCGTCCGAATGAACCCAGGATGGGCCTAACAGCGTGACCGTTCTCATATATTATTGGGACAGTCGCAACTCGGCAGGGTGACCATTTGTCATGCGTGAACTGCAACACAAATGGAATGCCAACACACATGAAAATCACACACATTGTAGATGGTGAAGCTAAAATGAAGCACCTGCAAGCGGAACAGAGATACGGACAATTAGCAAACTGAGGCGATGGAGCATCCTTCAATGGTTGGTGGTTTGGCCTTCGCCCCAGGGCCGTAGAGTTTAAGTGCAGAGCTTGTTCGAAAGACACCAAAATTCAACTGTCTTAAAATTGAGGGTTGAAAAGGATAAACCTCAAAGACTCAAAATACTCAAAAGAACAAAACGTTCTTTATTCCACACCTGCCAGGTGAGGTCTGTTAGATTTTATCAGAGCTCTTAGCTCTTCTCCTCCTTCTCTCCTCTCCTCCTCCTGCCGTCTCCTTGACTGCCGCACCTCAACTGCAAGTTCCAGATCGCAGTGGGCATGTATACCGGACCGCAACTGCAAGTGCCAGAGCGCAGTGGGCACTGCCGGACCTCAACTGCAAGTGCAAGGTCGCAGTGGGCACTGCCGGACCTCCCGATCGCAGTGGGCAACGCTGGAGCTCAACCGTAAGTACTAGATCGCAGCGGGCACTACCGAACCTCAACCGCAAGCGCCAGATCACAGTGGGCACAACCGGACCTCAACACACAACCACACAACAGTAACCACAAACACACGATACACAATACACAACCAACAAAGCACGACCAGACCACAGTTCACAAACACAAAACACAGCTACAAGCACGCAAGCAAAGTTGAAAGCCACAAGACCCACGACCATGGCAACGTGCTCCTCACCATGAGAAGAAATGATTGACATGTCATGGTGGGGCACACTCGAAGTACACTAAACTTTGTACTATGTGTTCCTTAGATGGTTGCTTAGGCCTTTCTTTGTTACCTCACAAAGATTGAAAAGTCACACTTTCTTTTCATTGAGTGATTCATACAGCTGATTCCTGTGCCATCCGTGGCCCTGCCATATTGAGGCCCAAAAGTGGGCGGCGACCAAGTTTGGGCGTACAATGCAGGTCATCCGAGAGACAACGGAATGCCACCGCCCTCCAATTGGAAGGTGCGACAGCAGATTGAAGATTGAACATTTGATTGTTATTAACGTTTTTCTTCATTGTTCTTCCAAATGTTGTTGCTTTGCCACTACGAACACATATGAAAAGTCATTGTTAATGTTGCGTTGACTCCAACAGTTTCCCAGGTACCGTGGGACGGGAAAGTGGATGATCGGTTGAGAATAACGATCGGAGGTGCCCATCCAGCGCTGTTTCTCCATTCAAAACAAACATCAACAACTTCCTTAAAACAAGTTGCGTTGAACGTGAGGACCTGAAGTAGGACCTGAGATGTGTTTGAGAAAAAACTAGAACAACAGACTGGACACAGGAACCACTCCTCAGAACAATCAGCCATGTACTTCATTGCTTCCAAATATTGCAATTCCAAATGCCTTCCGTAGAGCTCTCACTCTCTTTGATTCTCCAACTTAATACTTAAAATTATAATTGTTTTCATGCCTGTTTTGCTGAATTTATTGCTCAATAACTCTTAATTAATTAATTACCGAATGATTATTATATAGATAGTATTCTTGTTGATCTATTAAATGTTTCCTTAATCCTTTAATATCTTTAATGTCTTAAATCTCATCATTTCTCGTAAGTCGTTCCTCACGACTGTTCGCTTCGGCAACACGCCAGGCGGGGTGGACCGCCGGGAGGAGGAGCGACGCCAGGAAAGGCAGAGACAGGAGCGATGAAGCAGAGAACATTGATTAGAGTCCCTTTTCATCCCACCTAATAGCAGCGGTGGTCTCCAACCTAATAGGGATGGCCTCCAACCTAACAGGGATGGCCTCCAACCTAATAGGGATGGCCTCCAACCTAATAGGGA